CGATTGCAAAGTGAAAGCAAAAAACAAGCGCAAATTCAAACGCGACTTCAATATGTCACATATTGACAGTGGCTCACCGATGCCAATGACATAATTACCCAGCTACATTTCTGAAAGAATGCAAAAGCATTGACATATATTTTTCCTTCCTCTGACAGCCCGATGGGCAGAGATAGATTTTGGTAGCCCGACTGGAAAAAAAGACTGGCAAAAAAAAGATTTTGCGAGCCCTGGACCTCTACGGCTCCGGCGTCCCAGCGGCTGCTGCACGCTGCTGCATCTTCTGCCTGACGTGAGGCAGCACAGCGTCCCTGTAAAACACCTCCAGTTTGGACACTGTCTCCTCCCACAGCTCGGGGTCAAAGGTCACCAGGACCACAGCCGTTTCCTTCAGGGTGAAGACCACGAGGTCGGCCTCCCGCAGCCCCGTCACCGCCAGCTGACACTGGATCTGAGTGTAGTAGCTGTGGGAGGTCTTCAGGCGGTACACTGGAATCTGGAGGAGGAGGACACGAAATCAGAGAGGAAGAGGCGGAGGAATTGGAGGAGGAAGAGGAATCAGAGAGGAGGAGGAAGAGGAGGAGGAGGAAGAATCAGAGAGGAGGAAGAGGAGCAGACTGATGTGTGTTTGCTACCCCGCCGCGCTCCCGTGTGGCCTCCTCATGCAGCTGCAGACAGAAGGCGGGGTCCTCCCTGCAGGCGTCCTCCACCCGCCTGTGTCTGTGCTTGTAGGGACACTTCACCTCCAGACAGAGCAGCCATTGGCCGCTTCGTCTGTCCGTCACGATGCCGTCAGGACTGGCAGCCAACCAGGGCCTCCGGGGGTCGACGAACAAGCCACAGTCCCAAACGCAGACCTGCTGGCCCAACGCCGAGGACTTCAGCCTCTGTGGGGTGATGTAATCAGTGACATCATCAGCAAATGTTCAATAAAGTTTAGTGTGTAGAAAACAGTAGTGAAGGACCTCCTCCTCGTCCCCAGTTTGTAACGTTCTTGTGATTGTTGCGGTTTTCTCACATATTTTGTGCCTTTTCTGATATTTTTCACTGATTCTGGTTTTCTTATTATTTTATACACATCTTTCTTTCACGTCACTGGTTTAAAACCATTATTTTCTCTGTTCACTGTTGACCATTACCATAATAATTAGTAATTAGTCATTTATTTGTATTTTATCTCTCAGGCGTCGCACTTTTTAGTCTTTTCCTCGTGATACTGAGCTTCTTTGACTTGTTAAATTAAACTTTAACTCAGAGCTCTCATAATGCCCATATATCCTGCTGGCCGTGTTTGTGAGGATGGCTGAGAGTTACAAAGATGCTGAAACACACCTGGTACCTGCGGATGACCTCAGCCTCCATGTGGACCCCCCAGCTCATGGCTCTGGTCTGGACTCTGGGCCCCTCACCTGTCGAGACAGTCAGGTAACCAGTTACTGGCTGACCTCTCGGGATCCTGCACGTGTTACAATAAAACTCACACCAGCAGACATCCTGGTGAAGCTGCTAAAAGATACATTTATATGGAGTCAGGGTACCAGGTGGTAGAAGGTGTGGCCTACCTGTGACAGCAGCCAGGTAGGAGGTGGGCGGAGTTTTGCTCTTGCCGTTAACAAAGCCGGAGCGAGCGATGCTGTGTGCCACCGAGGCCGTGATCCGGTTCTTCCTCCAAGCGAACCAGTCTGGGTTGTTTCTCTGTCCGCGGGTCAAGACTTCCACCTCCTCCACCACACACCGGTCCAGACGGACACCCACATCCAGGGGCACCTGCTCGGGTCTGGGAGGGGCTGCTGGGGAAGGTTTCTGGGGAGGATCTGGATCAGCAGCAACCGCCTCCTTCACAGGTTTCTGTGCCCATTTCTGTCCTCCTTCAGGAGGTGGTCTCGCAGCCGAGGCAGCTTTTTGGGCGCCGCTGTTTCCTGGATCTGCCCGGGAGTCAGTCCCAGTCTGAAGGGGGCGCGCAGCACCGGGTCTGGTTTTACTGGAGGTTCTGGTTCCAGTGATGCCTTCTGGAGTCTGGATGGAGGGGTGGTATCTGACCTGAGGGAGGACTGGTTTCTGAGCCGTGCCAGTACCTGTGGAAGTCTGCTTGGTGTGGTGGTTCCGCATTGTTGTTGGGTCTTGATCCGAAAGGGGACCAGAAGAGAAACTGCAGGAAAGGAATGAAAAGCAGAAGAGTCTGAATCCAGGAAGCAATAGACGTGATCAGATTAAATAAAATCACGAAACGAATCACCATCATCGAAATGAATATCAGATCAAACGGGTAATAACAGATTTTTAACTTGACAGAGTCGACCGAGGCTTTTATTTTGAAGAGTCAGGTGTTTCGCCACACATCCGGTTCAAACAGCCGAAACAAACCACGTGATCGCCCGACCACGTCCCCAAGCACATACACTCCTGCCACCAGACTCCGTTCAGATTTGTGTAGAAACACGGAGCTCGGCGCTCCGGTGGACGCAGGCTCACCGGGAGGCGTTTGAGACTCACGGGGAGGAGCCGCTCTGGTTTTCGGCCAGGACCTCACGAAGGCAGCGTTCATCGTTTTTCAGGGAGATTCTTTCAAATAATCAGGCCAACTTTAACGTTTCCTCGTCTGTCTTTTAAGAAACAACTAAAAGCTCATTTTTTAGTTTTGTTTAGCGCTGTTATTTTGTTGTGAAGCACTCTGTGATCCTTGTCTTATATTAATACAATTTTACTTACTTTTATAATGTGTTCTTAGGGTCCTCGTCTTATGGGAAATAGCTTTTTTCTTGAAACAGAAAAACAGGGAAACAGAAACGGAAGGAGGCCCTAAAGTGAATGAATTTTGAATAGAGTCTGGTTGAAGCCGCTCCGGCTCCTCTGAGAGCACACGGCGAGGTTAGTTCGTGTTTCCAGACCTCGGCCTGTCTGTTCTACGCTCATTAAGCTGTAAACCAGCGGGCTGGCTCCTTATCTACCTGGCAGGTGAGTGAAAGTGTCAGAATGTACCTTACCTGTCTCTGCTGTCGGTCTGAGAGCAGAAACGAAACCGAGTCTATTTAAAGCCTCGCTGACTCATTATCCCGTGACACCAGACACGTCCCGGCATGTTTCAGCTCAGCCTGCTCCCAATAATCTGGGGGATCATCGATGAATCGTATCAATAACAACCGGAAGACTCGGGTTTGGAGTTTGTTAATACATCCACAGTAGACGCTGAACACTCATCATCATCACTGTGTATGAAGGACGAGCTGCCGTCAGCCCACCTGTGTGCAGGTCGCAGTCTCACCTGGAGGCGTGGCTTCGAATCCACTTCTGACAAAACGCTTTGCAATTGTTTGTTTACAATAGTGAAAAACAGTGATGCATAAAAATACCAACTATGCATTTTAATATGCTGATTCAATTCAACTTTATTTATACAGCGCCAAATCACAACAACAGTCGCCTCAAGAGAGATAAGATAAGACTTTATTGATCCCACAACGGGGAAATTTTTGCGTCACCTCAGCTCAGGTACAGATATATGAAGGAAATACAAAAATACAATTAAGTACAATCAATGGAAAAAGTAAGATAATACACTATATACAATGGTAGCATACACAGTATGTGATTATGGATATAGTTGGAAATACAGAAGACATAAACTATATAGCTTGGAAGGTCATGGAAGGTCCATTATGCGTGAAGTGGTGACCGTGGATGTTCACAGTGTCCAGTGACTTATGACATCGTGATTGAGGAGTTATAGTCTAACTGCTGTTAGACTCGCTTTACATTGTAAGGTAGACCCTACAACAATAGATACAGAGAAAAACCCAACCATCATTTGACCCCCATGAGCAAGCACTTAGGTGACAGTGGGAAGGAAAAACTCCCTTTTAACAGGAAGAAAGTGCTCTAATAGGGTGATATGGTACTACAAGGTCATTAAGATCAGATGGGGCCTGATTATTTAAGACCTTGTATGTGAGGAGCAGGATTTTGAATTCTGGATTTAACAGGAAGCCAATGAAGGGAAGCAGGAGAAATATGCTCTCTCTTTCTAGTCCCTGTCAGGACTCTTGCTGCAGCATTTTGGATCAGCTGAAGGCTTTTCAGGGAGTTTTTAGGACATCCTGATAATAATGAATTACAGTCGTCCAGCCTGGAAGTAATAATACTGGTACTGTCTCCAGTCTAGTCAGAGCCCGCTAACTGTCTTTGGTTCTGTGTGGTTGGCTGAACCGCTGCTCGCCTCACTGAAGAGAATTTGACAGGAAGTGGCGAGCTCCTGCTCTTTGAGTCCTTGTTCTGTTAGACCTCAGTTTGTGTTGAACCGCTGTGATGTGTCTTCCTGCAGCGGATCATGCGGGTCTCTCGGGTCTCTGCCGGCCTCTTCCTCACTGATCTGGACTCGGCTCTGAACACCAGCGTGTTGACCAGCAGAAATGTCACTCTCATCGTCAACGCCAGTGGGCTCGAGGACATTTCCTACCCGCAACTGGATGGTCTGCAGGTGCTCCACATCCCCGTCCAGGACCAGCCTCATGCCCCCCTCAGAGAGTACTTCGACCTGGTAACTGAACGGATCAACCAGAACCGAACGGGGGCGACTCTGGTCCACTGCACTGCCGGCAGAAGCCGGTCCTCTGCGCTGATCATGGCCTACCTCATGAGGTAGCCACAGTGCTTTAGTCTCACTTTGACAGTCAGGTTCTGGTCTCTGATGTGGTTCTGGTCTCTGTGCTTCAGGTCTCAGGGTCTCAGCCTCCGTCGAGCTCACCAACTTGTTCTGGAGCAGCGACCATTTATTCGACCCAATGCTGGTTTCTGGAGGCAGCTGATAGACTTGGAGAGGACCCTGTTTGGTAGGAACACAGTGAGGATGGCGAGGACACCAGGCGGCGTCCTTCCTGAAGCTCTGGAGGACTCAGACGCTGCAGCGGTGCACTGCCTGAATGTCTGATGCTGGCTGGCTCTGCAGCGTTTTCGGTGTGAAGCACTCTGAGGAACTGCTTCCACGTGCTCTTCCTGTTGTTGGGAGGAGCTTATAAACCTGTGCATATTTCTCCTGTTCTCTGGGCCTCAGAGTGCTGCTCTGTGATTGGTTGTGGTTTAAATGCCGCTGAAATCATCAGTTTTCTGCAGTGTGTGTGTGTGTTATGGTGCTAGATGGTTATTTACTTGTAATTTTATGGTACAAATGAAAAAGTCACATGACTGAGCAACTGGTTCAATCAAACCTTTATTTAAAAAACCCCCCAAAACAAACAATAAAAAAAAGCATCAGCAACAGTTCAGGTCAGACGCTGCACACAACCCTGCAATCAAGCTGAACTGAGCATGTGCAAGAAACGCGTGAAAACAACGAGTAAGAAAAAGTTTTATCAGGACAGCAGATTGACCACATTAGTCTGGGGGCGGGGCTGTAGGGGGCGGGGCTGTGTGTGTGGGGGGCTGAGGTCTCAGTACTGGAAGCTTCTCTTGGTCTGGATGTCATCGAGGATCTGCTGCAGCTCCTCGTCCTCAAAGCGACCCTCCAAGCTGAAAACACAGAAACCTTTATTGACACAGCAACCGAACAACCACACAGACACACGCACAGGTGTCGTCATGGAAACACAGCATCGTTGACGCCACCTGCTGCCGGTTCTGCTCTGAAGTATCTGCAGAACTGAACCAGGACCAGCTCTGGACAGGAAACTGAATCTCTGTGCAGCTGTGTACCTGACTCCGTGGTATAATTCTCAGACACGTAGCCTAAAGCAGACGACTCGTAAGCTGGAGAGTCACAAATTTAGAGGATCATCATTTAGCCTGGAGAAATAGTTTGCTGCTTTATAAGAAAGCCCTCCGCAAAGCCAGAACATCTTACTATTCATCCCTGATTGAAGAAAATAAGAACAACCCCAGGTTTCTCTTCAGCTCTGTAGCCAGGCTGACAGTCAGAGCTCTTTTGAGCCAACCATCCCTTTAACGTTAACTAGTAATGACTTCATGAACTTCTTCACAAATACAATTTTAATCATTAAAGAAAAAAAATTGTATCTGTGGGATGATTATTGGTAACATTATCTACAGCTACTCTTAGTACCATTGATGTTAAGTTAGACTCTTTTTCTCCAATTGATCTTTCTGAGTTAACTTCAATAATTACTTCCTCCAAACCATCAACGTGTCTTTTAGACCCCATTCCTACAAAACTGCTCAAAGAAGTCCTGCCATTAATTAATTCTTCGATCTTAAATATGATCAACCTATCTCTAATGATCGGCTATGTACCACAGGCCTTCAAGCTGGCTGTAGTCGGTCTTGTGTCAGTGAAGTAAAAGACGGATTTAATGCGACAGGACCATTCAAACAGCAGTCGCTTTCTAAAACACCGGATAGTCAATACTTTGTAGAACCAGCTTTTGCTGCAGTTCCAGCTGCCAGTCTTTTAGGGTCTGTCTCTACCAGCTTTGCACATCTACAGACTGAAATCTTTGCCCATTCTTCTTTGAAACAGCTCCAGCTCAGTCAGATTAGATGGACAGCGTTTGTGAACAGCAGTTTTCAGATCTTGCCACAGATTCTGGATTGGATTTAGATCTGGACTTTGACTGGGCCGTTCTAACACATGGATATGTTTTGTTTTAAACCATCCCATTGTTTCCTGGCTTTATGTTCAGGGTCGTTGTCCTGCTGGAAGGTGAACCTCCGCCCCCAGTCTCAAGTCTTTTGCAGACTCCAAGAGGTTTTCTTCCAAGACTGCTCTGTATTTGGCTCCATCCATCTTCCCATCAACTCTGACCAGCTTCCCTGTCCCTGCTGAAGAGAAGCCCCCCCAGAGCATGATGCTGCCACCACCATATCTGACAGTGGGGATGGTGTGTTCAGAGTGATGTGCAGTGTTAGCTTTCCACCACACATAGCGTTTTGCATTTTGGCCACAAAGTTCCATTTTGGTCTCATCTGAGCAGAGCAGCTTCTTCCACATGTTTGCTGTGTCCCCCACATGGCTTGTGGCAAACTGCAAACGGGACTTCTTATGGTTTCCTGTTAACAATGGCTTTCTTCTTGCCACTCTTCCATAAAGGCCAACTTTGTGCAGTGCACGACTAATAGTTGTCCTATGGACAGATTCCCCCACCTGAGCTGTAGATCTCTGCAGCTCCTCCAGAGTCACCATGGGCCTCTTGGCTGCATTTCTGATCAGCGCTCTCCTTGTTCGGCCTGTGAGTTTAGGTGGACGGCCTTGTCTTGGTAGGTTTACAGTTGTGCCATACTCATTCCATTTCTGAATGGAGCCACTGTAGGTAGGTATCGGATTCAGTACCACATTCAAAAGTGATCCTGATTGGATTTGAAAATATTGGATTTGTGCTGTTCACACTGTCATTACCATGATCGGATACGGGTGGCAAAGGGTGAAAAAAGTCAGATTTGATGCGCTTTCGCCTGCAGTGTGAACATAGATTTGTTATTTTGCAATAGACCTAGGATTCCCATGATGCACTGGGTTTTTCCTTTCCAGTCACCTTCTTCACTCACTATGTGTTAACAGACCTCTCTGCACTGAATCATATCTGTTATTAACCTCTGTCTCTCTTCCACAGCATGTCTTTATCCCGTCTTCCTTCTCTCACCCCAACCAATCACAGCAGATGGCCCTGCCCCTATAAAGCTCCTTGAGGTGACTGTTGTTGTGATTTGGCGCTATATAAATAAAATTGAAATGAACTTTCAAAATAAAGCTGCAGGGCTGGTCAGGTCTGTGTGACTTGGACAGCTTCCTGTTTTTATGAAGTGTTTTACACGGCCCGTGTGAGTGCAGCGGCACACGCAGTGCTCTGTTGTCCAGATTCTGTACAATAAAGTTCAGATTTGTCTCATGAAGCTGTTCCACTGTGCCAAAAGTCATTATTTCAGTCATAAACTGATATAAAAAAAAAAAAAAAAAAACTGGGGAGGTGGTCACAGGTTCATCCTGTGGGCTCAGACTAAAGCCAACTGTCTCACCCAGCTGACTCGCACAGCCAATCAGGATGAGCCTGTGCCTCCACCTCAGTGATCTTTTATTTTTCATCTGAATCGTTCAGATTCAGGGTTAGACAGTGTGAACAGGCAACACTTCCCGCCTGTGGAGGAAACACGACCCGTGTATTTAATGGTGGAACGGCAGGAAACGCATCACTCTCCGTGCCCTCGCCTAACTGGTTGTTGTTCCATGGGCTTAATCAGAACGGTCCCATTTGTCACTACCCGATCCGTACTGGAAACCCGATCGGTACCACGCATGTGTGAAAGGCGTCTACTTCATTTCACGATAGTTACGGGTCAGAGTATCTGTTAAGATGTTGACTCATTCACTGCCATTGACGTCTATAGCCGTCAATGGCAGTGAATGAGTCAATGGGTTTAACTCATTCACTGCCAATGGCTGGCAGTGAATGAGTTAACAATAAGTATCTCTTAAAATTTTTGCAATAATGAAACATTTCAATACAATGTAGACAAAAAAAACGAAATAAAAAGACAGTTACGGATCAGGACTCCCCGATGCTTACCGCGCATGTGCAGATGTTTCCTTCTTCTTCTGTTCATTTAATGGCAGTTTACTCCCAGTGTACGAGGACACTGCCACCTGCTGACCGAGCGAATGAACCCTATTGTAAACTGAATTAGCGTGATTACAAAGGTGTGTTAAATCTGATTTGGTGATAGTCGAGTGTGTTTATGCTCGTCTGTGTGGAGAGGATTGTTGGAATAGTGATGATGATGATGTCCGCTATCACTGTCAGTAAACACTTCATCTGGCTGATGAATCTACACGTGAGATATTACAAAGTCTGTATTATTAACTCTGTAATTAGGCGCCATTCTTCTAATTTTACGGCGCTGTTGTTCAATCGGGGGACGCTCTCTGTTGAGGAGAAAAGCATGAAGTTGTTTGTATACGGAGGTGTCCATTGTTTAAATGTCCGAAAAAGAGGCAGAGCTGTCGAGAAATGCTAGGAGCTAACTGGGCGCTAACCGTATCATATTAACTGTCACAATGTTGGCAAAGAGAGAAAGTGACGTAAGATTTGTGCATGCGTGGTACCGATCGGGTTTCCGGTACGGATCAGGTAGCGACACCATCAATGTGATGGTCATGTGACCACGCCCCTCAGCTACAGAGTAAATTGTCTGTGTGCAACGACTTCCTACAGACACACGCAAGGAATTCTTACCAACCCCACTCATGCTGTGATCACCCACCCACAGGTGTGTTTTCTGGATTCCAAATGTTGTGGCCATTTTTGTTGAATGTTTATAAAATGCAGTTTGTATTCATTTTAGTTCTTTCTTTAAAGTTGTAAGAATATACTGACCTAGTTTTGTTAAGTAAATTTGTAATTAATTTTTGGAAAAGTTTTTTGGAAAGTGATTGGTTTATTAGCTCATGGAGCCTCCCATTAATGAGGGGATTAAGAGCACCCTGGAGGGGTGTGGTAATGTTTTTGGTTTTTTGTTTGCCAAATGTCTGATGGGAAGACCACTTTTGAAGTTGTTAAAGCAAATTAAGTTAACTTTCGTTTAAGTTGTAAGAAGTTATTTGGTTGATTTTTGTTTATAATTTTGCACGAAATAAACGCCATATGATTTTTAAACAATGGAGTCAGAAGTGCGTTCCAAAAGCAAACCTCCCGTTGCCACCCACGGCCTTTTTGGTGTTTGGAACATAAAAGGCTGTGACACCAAATGTTTCCACCTGCCGCATCCAACCGGTCACAGCAGATGGCCCCGCCCCTCCCTGAGCCTGGTTCTGCCGGAGGTTTCTTCCTGTTAAAAGGGAGTTTTTCCTTCTCACTGTCGCCAAAGTGCTTGCTCACTGGGGGTCAAATGATTGTTGAGTTTTTCGCTGTATGTATTATTGTAGAGTCTACCTTACAATATAAAGTGTCTTCAGGGAACTGTTGCTGTGATTTGGTGCTGTATAAATACAACTGAACTGAATTGAACCTGCCTATGTGTTTAACTCAGCTAGTTATGAACTGTGGAGCAGCTCCTGTACCTCAACACTGCAGCTGTCAGAGGCTTTTATTGTGAAGTTCCTGCTGTGACGTGGATCTGACTTACCTGGGGATCAGGGCTTTGGCCTCCTCTGCGGCTTCTGGACACAGGTTGGCCAAACTGGCGAGCTCGAACTTGTGGAGCTTCTTCTGCAGCAGGAGGCTGAAGACAGAAAGATGACAGGGGTCAGAACCGGATCGCCTCAGACCTGGGTAGGAGCCGGGGCGGGGGCGTACCTGCGCACGGCCGTGATGGTCTCGCGGTTCTTGAAGCGGCTGAAACGGGCCGTGTAGTTGAGGGTCTTCATGAAGACCTCGGACAGCTCCTGCTCGTCCTCCGCGCTCTCGTTCTGCTGCTTTCTGTGCTCCAGCAACATGTGGACCTCCGAGTTCAGCAGCGTCTCCGCGTTCTCGAACTCTGAGGGGGAGGAGGAGGGGTTAACATCTGTCAATCACTCAGCACGCAGGCTCAGAGAGGCTTTGAACCTTCAGCCGAACCCACAGACAGCAGCTCGGTCTGTGTACCCGCGTGCACCCACGGACCGCCCGCGCGTGTCTGTAGTTGTTCGAGAGTGCGTTGCTGCAGGTACTCACCTTTAGGAAAGAGCAGCTGAGAAGCGTCCTCTTCAATATCACCAACGTGCGGAGGAGCCGCGCCGCCTCCAGCCGCCATGTCGAGGAGCATTCAGGAGTGTGAAGCCGCCCGGAGGGTGAGATACAGCTGCCCGGTCAAGCCTGGCAGCTCGGCAACAAAGCGCAGGTCGGGGGGTAGAAAGCAGCGCCGCCGCGCCGGACCGTAAGAAAACAGCGAGAACTACTTCCGGGGCGCCCACAGTCACTTCCGCTCTTTGTGACGACATTAAAGAACATTATAAAAAACAGAAGGAGGGTGCAGTTTGTGCCAAAGAGATGACAATATAAAAAAAAATTACATAAAATTAGAGAATCAGGTCGACAGTTCATTTTCCTGTCTGGCAGGGATTCTTTCAAAGTAACAGTCTCTGCTAGCAGCGCCCTCCTGCGGACGGGAGCGGCAGCTTCGCACTGAGTGTCAGAGAATAGTCTTAAGCAGTTTAAAAAAGATTATTTTGTTACATGAGTGCCGGAAGCCGCTGAACCCCGACAAAAAGAAACAGAACAGAATCTGTCTCAGCGGTCGTAAAAGGGAGACTGCGTTGGCCGGGAATCGAACCCGGGTCAACTGCTTGGAAGGCAGCTATGCTAACCACTATACCACCAACGCCTGAAGGCAGTGGCGCTGTACCACAATAAAACACACGCAGCATCAGTATTACTCAATATGGCGTAATGTGACGGCTGTGACCTCACAGCAGGGAGGTCCTGGGTATCACAGAAACTCAGGAGAGGCTTCTCCAAGCACACCGGCCACAAAGTCAACAACCTAGTGTAGCTGTGCAGTACAGCGACGAGAGCTCAGACCTGGAGAAACCAGCCACCTCCTAATATCAGCTATCAATTTTATTTCTATAGCACAAAGCGCTTCACAAGTAGTTCATGAACAAGAGAAAATAGAAAAATAACACATGATATAAGGCAAAGGCAACATATTTAACATAAAAACAAAACAAACACAAAACAAGCCTGATGGTGCTCAAACTGAACTTTGAGTTTCATCAAGCCAGTGTAAAAAACGTGAGTTTCAAGACGAGATTTGAAACACTGTATAGACTCTGAAGTACGAATATCAAGTGACAAGTGATTCCCAGTGTTGGGAAGGGTACATTTAAATGTATTCCACTACAGATTACAGAATACATGCCCCAAAATGTATTTTGTAATGTATTTGTAACTGAATACTTTGGATTACTTAATCTATTATCATGCTTTTTATAACTACATGAATGTGCTATTGCTGTGTGATTTATTACTGTTACTGAAGGTTACTCTCCACACCAACACCAACTAGATGTTTAAATCTTAATATAAATGAGTAACAGTAGGTGGACATTAGGTAAGGCTGCACTTTTTGCAGCGATCTCGTATAGAAAACTATTTCTGTATCAGTAATATGTTTTCTTTCTGTCTGCAAATAATCATGTGGAACTGCACATGATTATTTGCAGCTAGCAGGTTGTTAATGCTATCCATTAAAAACAGCATGTTAACACGTGGAGATCCTGAAAGCTGCTCCAAAAATGATCAGATTTTATTTGAAATATTTGTTCAGTTCTCCTCCAAACCCCAGCAGCTGTCTGTTGTAGGCTTTGATTGTTTACTAAAATAATAATAAAAGTGTTCTAACATCTCACTGATTTTATGTGTACTGTGTTTATTAAAAGAGATGAAGTCTTTGAGTGGTGTCACCTGCTGATGATGACACACCCACTTTCACACCTTGGGTCATGTGATGAGCAGTGTTGGTCAAGTTACTTGAAAATAGTAATTAGTTACTAATTACTGATCACTTCTCTAAGAAAGTAATCCCATTACTTTACTTAATTTTCAAAAGTAATTAGTTACTTAGTTACTTTTAAAAAACATGATACACGACCTGAATACATAATAAAGCAACAGACCTTTCAGCCCAATTCTATTTTTCTCCATAATCCATCATATCAAACTGAATCAAATGAAAAAGTCTCTTTTTAAAAACCCCCGAAGGAAATTGGGTTAAGGCTGCGGGCCTTATGCCAGCGCCGTCTTACCCTTACACAAACATCACATGGGGAAGGCATGTCAGAGAAGTATAAATAATAAATAATAATAATAGTAAATAATCATTCTGTACATCCCATAATTTTTAACCCTACAACTGTTTACAACTTGCATAGTTCCCATTTCTGTATAGCTGTATATCTCAGATTCTGTAAAGTTATTTATTTCATATTCTGTGTAGTTTTTCATATTTATATCCTGTTCATATCCTGTTCATAGCTTGTACTCACTACAGCCTGTACATACTTATAGTTATAGAATATTCACAACATACTTCATACCGTGTACATTATAACATACCATAATAGACCCATTTCTGTAATATACTCACATATCTATATTATTGCTAATATATATTGTAATATATCTATATCACTAAAGCACTTCTGGATGGATGCAAACTGCATTTCGTTGCCCTGTACCTGTGCATGTGCAATGACAACAAAGTTGAATTCTATTCTATTCTATTCTATTCTATTCTATAACAATGGAAAATGCAGAACATGAAGAAAGACGAGGAGAAAAAAAGAACTGCTAACAGACTGAGCTCCAACAGGGAGATCAGTTTGAAAACCCCTCAGCACACATGGATCCTCACAGCTCACAACACAGAAGCGATAAGCTTCAAAGGCGTTTGGAGGGGGTGAGTGTAGGTATGTGTCAGTGTGTGTGTGTGTGTGTGTGTGCAGCCGAGAGAAAGTGTGCCTTCACCCGGTTAGGCCAAAGTCAACAATCTTCGGTCAACGCAAGTGGCCTTGAAGGAGGGGGGAGAGTCACAACACAGTCTTGTTATCTACGGGAGAATTTTGTTATTCCCGTCAGCTTTTGCCTTGAGCATCCAGCTGGCACCAGGGGGGCCGCACGCCATGAAGATGGTATGTATAACATAAGATATATCAGAGTGTTAACCTGGTTTTCGTCTGATTGTAGCTCGAGTCCGGATGCAATCCTGAATCTCTTAAAGCGCTGGATCCTTTTCAGCCACTGTTCTGGCTTTGAAAAGTTGAACTTCGGCGGCGGTGACACTTGGAAGGCTGTTGACACGGCTGCTAGACGCAAGATCAAGTTAATTTTTTTCCTCATTAATGTACACACAGCACCCCATGTTGGCAGAAAAACACAGAATTGTTGACACTTTTGCAGATTTATTAAAAAAAGAAAAAGTGAAATATCACCTGGTCCTAAGTGTTCAGACTGTTTGCTGTGACACTAATATTTAGCTCGGGTGCTGTCCATTTCTTCTGATCATCAGATCATCAGCTGCATGGACAGGATGACTGGTTGCAATCGAGGGAAAGATGAATAGGACAAGTACAGGAAGATCCTGGATGAAAACCTTCTCCCAAGTGCTGAGGACCTCAGACTGGGCACTACACTTACCTTCCAACAAGACAGTGACCCACAGCTAAAAAAATGAAGGAGTGGCTTCACAACAACACCGTGACTGTTTTTGAATACCCCAACCAGAGCCCTGACTTAAACCCAATTCAGCTTCTCTGGAGAGACCTAAAAATGGCTGTCCACCAATGTTTACCATCCAACCTGGGAGAACTGGAGAAGGAGGAATGGCAGAGGATCCCCAAATCCAGGAAGGAAAAACTTTGACGTGCATCTTTCCCCAAAAGACTCGCGGCTGAATTAGATCAAAAGGGTGCTTCTACTAAGTACTGAGCAAAGGGTCTGAACACTTAGGACCAGGTGATATTTCAGTTTTTCTTTTTTTAATAAATCTGCACAAATGTCAACAATTCTGTGTTTTTCTGCTAATATGGGGTGCTGTGTGTACATTAATGAGGAAAGAAAAATGAACTTAGACGATTTTAGGAAATGGCTGCAATATAACAAAAAATGAAACAAAAATAAGGGGTCTGAATACTTTCTGTACCCACTGTAGCTTGGAGTCAGTTTTGACCAAGATATGTCCTTCAATGCACATGTTAAACAAATATGTAGGGCTGCTTCCTTCCATTTGTGCAACATCTCTAAAGTTAGAAATATCCTACTCAAAATCCTGCTCCTCACATACAAGGTCTTAAATAATCAGGCCCCATCTTATCTCAATGACCTTGTAGTACCATATCACCCTATTAGAGCACTTCGCTCTTGCTCTGCAGGCCTACTTGTTGTTCCTAGAGTATTTAAAAGTAGAATGGGAGGCAGAGCCTTCAGTTTTCAGGCCCCTCTTCTGTGGAACCAGCTTCCAGTTTGGATTCAGGAGACAGACACTATCTCTACTTTCAAGATTAGGCTTCAAACTTTCCTTTTTGCTAAAGCTGATCCTGGTTCTGCCAGAGATTTCTTCCTGCTAAAAGGGAGTTTTTCCTTCCAACTGTCGCCAAGGTTTTGCTCAAAGGGAATTGTTTGATTATCAGGGTCTTTAGTGTGACTGTCATGATTTGGCAGTATATAAATAAAACTGCTTAGTTTGTTCTTTGTTCAGGTCATTTGGACTTTTGTTCATAGTTTTATTCTGTTTTATTTCCTTGTCCTTTTGTAATTTGTTTTTCTAGCTAATTATTTATATTGAGAAAAGTTTCCGTTTTCCTGCCCTCATGTGTTCCCTGTGCTGTTAAGCCTCTATTCCTGTGTTAGGTGTACTCTCATTTGATGAATTCATGTTGTATTTTAGTAGCTTTTGTTTGATATATATTTGTGGATAAAGTTGTCATGGAACTGGCAGATGGAATCACTTTACCAGCAATAGTAACTGTCAAACAAATGTATGTACTATTTGGACACATTTTGTGGCTCAAATACAAAGAAACTGCCAAGAAAACTAACCAGATTTAATGACATCATGACATGACATAGCAAAGGCCTTTCTGGCAATGAAATGACAGCTATATTTAATCTGTCTGTCACAGTGGAGCAAACCATGTGTTCTGTATAAAGACATGTTGCATGTATTCACAGACTGCATGAAGACTTCTGTAGGAAGAAAAACTGTAAAGGTAAACAGTCAAACAAAAGTGCTTAAACATACTCAGAGGTGCATTCAGAAAAATCATAATCAATTGATTCTTGGACTTCATTTTTTCCTGAAGAGCAAACCTTTATATAACATGCGTATTTGAGACATTTTGAGGCCATACAGTAAAGGGTTAACGAGTGGTTGGCATGTAAGACAGTATAGTGACACAAAAATCCGAAACATGGCTGGTAAAGTATTCATGTTC